AATCTTGTTTCTCTGCTACCCACTGGAATGAGCCTTGTTTGTGCTGTGAAAAGGCCCGGACCGCTTATCTTGGCTCAAGCCCGGGTATCACCAAATCCTTTAGGTTTAAAACATCTTTTCAAGATTTAGTAATTCAGGGCTTCCCTGGTGGCGCAGTGGTTGAGAGTCCGCCTGCCGATGCAGGGGACACAGGTTTGTGCCCCGGTCCGTGAAGATCCCACGTGCCGCAGAGCGGCTGGGCCCATGAGCCATGGCCGCTGAGCCTGCGCGTCCGGAGCCTGTGCTCCGCAACGGGGGAGGCCACAACAGTGAGAGGCCCGCGTACCACAAAAAAAAAAAAAAAAAATTAGTAATTCAAAAGATTGGCAACTTCTATCCCCTCAGTGTCCAATTCTTCCCACTACACACTGTGTAGTTCTGGTCACACATAATAAAGTCCCCAAACACCCAAGGCTGCAGGAGAAACTGTGTGCGTGAAGAGGAAGGAAGACTCGGGACGATGTCCTGGAAGGAGGCCTGGAGAGTCGCTCTTACAGCCTGAGACACCGCCAGCCCTTGTGCTTGTGTTCTTGGGTCCAGGAAGGCGCCAGTTTCACACTGCCAACTGCTGCCGACTGCTCTTTCAGCTGAAAGGCAGGGACGTGCTGGAGGCAGAAGCAGCAGCTGGGCTGCCTGTGCTGGCTTTGCTGGCCAGTGACCTTAGCTCAGCCTCTTAAAATTTCTGGGCCCTAATTTAAAAACATCTGCATAAGCAGATTTTTTACTTGTTTCTCCCTTACTGGACTGGATGCTCCTTGAAGGCCGTGCCTGTCATCTCCGGCTGTGTATTCCTAGCACCTATTACACGGTGGCGCTCCATCCATGGGAGTTAAATGAATTATGAGTGAGAAGGATCTAGCATGTATTAAGTATCTACTACAGTTGGGTACAATGTGAGCCATCTTCCTCATGCCGTTTCACGACTCATCATATTAAATAGGTATTATTATATTCATTCAATTCATGGAACTTCGTGGCCTCTAATCAGAGTTAAGATGTCCTCTGCCTGCTGGATTCTGTGGCCAGCGGGGCTGGCTGTCTGACAGCCCATTTCTCTGCTTGCTTGCTTCTGTGGCCGCTCTGGCCAGGCAGATGAGCAGGCCAGGCACGCGTCGTCGGCTGTCCCCTGGGAGGCCCCGGGCCGAGCCAGGCTGCCTTGGCAGACTCAGGCGCTCGCGCTCTGAATCATTTAGATGTCATGCACGCTGCTGCGGCCTTCCAGGCAATGAGGAGGGGCTTCCCCAGCAGCCTCCCCCAGCCTCCCATGCCTCCACGCAGGCTGCTGCACCGAGTGCTCACGACTTAGTGGTTTCCTGGGGACTTGGTGGCCTCTGACTTGTCTTTCCTCTGAGTCAGGCTCTCCCCAGCTGACTTTGCTGTGACAACTTCCTTCCTCACCACTACAAATGCCGAATGTTGTTCTCCCAGTAGCGGTCCCCGAACCACCATGTTCTGCTCTGAGAGGAAGCCATCTGTAGTCATCACTCTTATCACCGCCAAGATTTCACCACGTCCCCCTGACCACAGTGATCACTGGGCTGCTGGGGTCATCTCTGATATTAAAGAGAATGAGCTTCCAGCGGGGCAAACTGCCAAGGACCTCAAAACCAACAGATTCTTGAGTCTGACACTGACTCCATAATCAGAGAGCAGACGAGTCTCAATCCTTTGTGATCCCCAATTGTAAGCAGAGCAGAGCAGAGCAGATGAGGGTATTAAGTAATGGCCTCTTACATTTGTATCCTGCTCAGAGTGTGCAAAGCCCTTCACATCCTTAATTGCACTGACCCCACATGACCCCACATGACCCCACGTGACCATGTGAGCTGGGCCAGCATCATCATCCCCACTTTACAGATGGGGAAACCAAGGCTTAGGTGGGGATGGAATTTGCCTCAGGTCATAGAGCTCATTCATGGAATATCCTTTCATGAACCATCAAAGGCTGGCCTTCTGTATCCCTATCACCTCTATGGTCCTAACAAATACAAAATACCCAATAAATGATTGTTCATTGAACTGACGATTGAATAGTGAAATAGGACTTAAATTTAGGGCCTTGATTCAAGGGCATAATAATTTTTCCACTGCACTACTGTGGTCCAATTGAGCTCTTCCAGCAATGGGTAAAAACAGTCTGAAGTCAGGCTGGTTAGGTTCAGACCCCCTCCTCCCTGTCTAGCCAGTGACCTTGGGCAAGTTATTTGGCTTCACTGAATTTCTTCATCTGTGAAATGGAAGATAATACCAGTACCTGCTTCATTGTGTTGTTGAGTATTAAATAAGAAAAGGCGTGTAAAGTGCACAGCAGTGATTGGCTGGCACATCTAGGAAGTGTGTAATTAGTGTTAACAATAGTTATTACTATTGTAAGAGTAATAACAATTACTATTGTTATAGGGTATTATTGTTATAGGGTAGGGATGGGCCTTATGTGTCTGTGAAACCCAGTACCTGGTACAGTGGCTGGCACATACACATGAGTGTAGGGCTCAAGACACTTGCCTCCCAACACTGACACTCATCACGTGACAGGGAGCAAGTCCCTTACCTCTCCTGGCCTTAGTTCCCACACCTGTGAACTGACACGGTTGAACCGGGTAAATCCCAGGGCTCCACCCCGCTCTAAAATGCTCTATTTATTTCAGTGGTCTCAGTGGGGCAATTTTGCTCCCCAGGAAACATCTGGCAATGTCTGAAACATTTTTGTTGTCACAACCAGGGGAGGTGCTACTGGCGTCTAGTGGGTAGAGGCCTGGGAAGCCGAGGACCATGCTCAGTGCAGTGCCCACAAAAAGAATTGTCCGGCACTAGACGTCAATAGTACCGAGGCTGAGCAACTCGGATCCAGGCCGACATGAATAGCCAGAGCTCTCTGAGTTGCTGGACAAGTGCCTGTGACCTGCAGCTTGCCAGGCCCAGCAGCAGAGCTCCTCCACGCAGCAAAGCAGTCTACGGGTCGCCCCTTCAGCTGCGCCCTTGCGCCCTCATCTTGTTAGTGGGGAGGCTATAGCTCAGGCATCTTTAACTTAAACTGGACTCACTCTTGGCCCGGCCAGGGAGAGGGGAGAACATCTTGGCACAAGACACACGGAGCCTGGCCTGAGGCAAAGCCCCTGAAGATGTAGGGACAGCCCCAGCAAAGCCATCAGGTCAATGGGCTTGCCCAGCACCCCTGCTCTCTTCCTCCTGCCTCAGCTCCCACCCTCCAGGGGGCAGACCGATCCTGGTGACGGAAGAGTCAAGCTGGGAAGAAAATGCATTGGCCAGCAGGGTGGACACGGAGACTGGAGGCCAGGGCAGCCTCAGGGGACGCTCACGGCCTCCTGCACCGCGCAGTCTTGGTCTCCTTGTTCTCAACACATGAGGAGGAAAGGCTGCCATCACATGCTCCCTGGCTCTTCAAAGAATCTAGATCAGCTCTTTTTGCAAGGTTCCTTCATCTTCCATTTCCTCTTTCCCAACCCCATCCTTTACCCCCTGAATACCTGCTGAGAGGCTATGGGTTTCCCCAAAACAGCCCGAATGAGGAAAGGGAAGACCTGGGGTCCAGTTAAGGCAACTATAAATAGGCTGCCTACCTCTGCTCTCTGCCTCAGTTTTCCTGTTTGTTAATGGGAACTCAGCTGGTAGTTATGAGCACAGGAAGATAAAGAGGGGAAAGCTCTTAGCAAGCCCCCGTGGCCCATCACACCGAGGCGCTATCGTTTTCCTGAGGATGCTAGACAGGGACCAGGCCCTGCTACTTAGGAAGTGCTGAAATCCTGCAGCACTTGTCCTCTCTCACACATGCTCATTCTCAGCCTGCATTTCAGGGAGACCCCAAACTCCATGTCCACCTGTGACATCAATGTCTCCCTACACGCTACCTAGCACCTCAACAGATTGATTGCCTGAAGTCCCAGCAGCCCCAGGAAGAACTCTCTGGTCTCTGCCAGGCTTGGTGGGGCAGGAATGTTGAGCAGAAGTCAAAACAAACAGCTCATGGGGCTGGGCAAACACATACAGGATGGCACTGCAGCCGAGGCCACCGCCATCTCCACCCATGGATGGGAGACCTTGCCATCTAGGGCTTCTCACAAGAAAAGGAGGCTATGCTGGAGGAAGCCTTGGCCATCAGAAGATGGCTCATCCCTAATAGTGGGCAGCTCACACACCTGACATTCCTGATTTCTGGTGAACAGACACAATTGGTGGCTGGGTCCCTCCCAGCCAGTCCAACGAGACATTTCAGAGGCAAGAAGATAGATATGAGTTTAGGTATGAGGAGAACACCTTTTCTGAAGCCAATATTTCATTCCTGCTGGGATTGTAGCAGCTTGTAGTTCTTTGAAACACAAATAAATACAGATGGGCCAGTAGCAGAGGAGTGGGGTGGAGACTTTCAAGACATGAGCAAGGAGGCCATATAGCTTTATGGGAATTGCAGTAGGCAGGATCTCCCCACTGACCCAGCACACCATGGAGATGGGGAACATCATTGCTCAGATGGAGCCTTTCTGAAACGTATTTTCTTAGAAGGAAAAATTTGAGGTCTTTCTCTAGCAAACGCGCCACAAAGAAGGATCTCGCACTCTTGTTGGTTATCGGAGCAGGGACCCCTCAAAACTGAAGTCTTATGGAATGAGAAAAAAGGCAGGCACAGAGGTTCCCTTGTTCAGGTTTGCTTTCCAGCGTCACTACTTCTAGAGGCCTGATGGGTCACTGAGGAAGCACGTGAGTGTGTCCAGGAGGCTTAAGTTCACTGACATGGGTATTGGGTATGACTTCAATGTTGTGCAAGCCTTAGAGGTTCTAGAACAGATCATGCTCCTCTCCTGAACTGATACCGTGCGGCATCCCTGGCCTATTCTGCTGTGGTGCCCCACACTGCTGTAGGACCTGCTTGGCAGCCACAATTGTTTGCTCTTTCCCTCCCCGCCAGATTTCTTCTGGTAAAACCCAGTTTCCAGCATATTCAATTACTTTCGTACTGGCCTTTCAACACTCCCCTTGGCTGTTTTCTCCTTGGCCCCATCTGGACTTCGGGAAACGAATATCTTTAACAGCCACTCATTAAATGTCCACTCTGCCAGCTGGTCCTCTGGCCTCTGGAAGGACCGTCAGCCTGGGCAGCCAGAGGACCCCACAGATCAGTGCCCAAGACACCATGCAGGCAATATTCGCAGTAATGGCTCCATCTGGACCCTACTACCCATTAAAGGACGATTGTGAGTTTTAAATAGATGTCAATTAAGTAGATGTCAAATTTCCAGGGTGTTCTGGAAATTTGTAGCCCAAAGCCAAATCTCCATTTACATAATGGGTTTTGGACACGGGGAAGGACTTACCCATGCTTTCCTGGAGTGGGTACCAGGGGGATCTCTCTTCCAGCCTCACTGTGGGGCAGCAGCCGGGCGACGTACCTCCCAGAGGGCTGCAGGTGCCTGTGCACCGAGACGGCCAGCCTGCAGTGCTCGCTGCTGCTTCTCACCCATGGACTCAAGATGCTGTGCCTGGAGTTCATCGAGGTGTTGAGGAGGAGGAAGGCGCCTGCCAAGAGACAGGGAAGGTGACTCTGCAGCGTGTCCAGAAGGGAGGACCAGCATAAGCTCTGTGGCGGGATTTAGAGACCAACGGCGTCAGAGTCAGCGATGCTAGAGGCCTTTCTCGCCTTCCTTACACACACCTGGCCCTCTTCCCCCTCTCTTAGGTTGTCTCTGTAAAAAGCAAAGCCTGAGGCAAGAGGATGGTGACCTGGGACTCGGGCTTTATCATCAGGCAGATCAAGGTTCTCACCTCAGCTCCCCTACTTACTAGCTCTATGTTCTTGAGACTCAGGTCCCTCATCTGTAAAATGGGAATGAAAACATCTGCTTCAGTGGTTGTGAGGATTATGTGAGGTAAGCATGGAGAGCACGTTACACAGTTTTAGGTAGAGAGGAAGCACCCTTATAAAATAATCAATTATTTGATTTCGACTGTCTTCTAAGTTAGAGATGACACTCACAGATTCTTTCCCAGCCAGTAGGCACAATTAACAAAGTCCCATAAGAAGCAGAAGACGAGGACAGATTATTTAATCCCCAAAGAGTGATGAGAGTCAGAAACTCAACCCAGTGCTAAGATGTTCTTGGTGGAGGAGGGCAGCCTAAAGAGAGTCCCTCCCTCCGTACACGTTCCCAGAGTGGAGGCAGGACATCAGTTCCATCTTATAAACATCCACGTAGCGTATCTCCACACCTCACAAACCAGGACACTCTGGGGTATCTCAGGCCACGCTATGGGTCACAGTTTAAATCAGAGCTGACCTGAGTTCTCCATATCACACTCAAGCCAACTTCGGACTCAACTGACATCTGCTGGACAATTCAGAGTTTCCCAGGAATGTATGGGTTGGCTCTAGGCTTCCCAAATAGTTATGACCAGTTCAAGGTTTTCTCTGAGAGGTGGGTGGCTTATTTGGGTCACTTATTATGTAGCTAAGATCATGGCTCCCACTCCTTTGCTTTCTAGCTAAGTGATCTTGGGCAAAGCATTAACCTTCTCTGGTTTCGGTTTCCTCATTTATAAAATGGGGTGGGAAGGGTTGGCTGAAGTCAATCATCTCTTAAGATTCATTTCAGCTCCTGAGTCTATGAATCATATGCGTTTGCAACTGGTCTCCACAAAGAGAGCCCTACGAATCCCTCCTGGTGCCATGCCTGTAGAGTTTCCCTCTGGGGCAGGTCAACCCTAACTCTAGCAGCACAGTCCAAGAGACCTAAAAGCACCTTGTATGCATGGGGATTACTGTCGGCATAAAAGCAGGGCACCATTTTATGTTCCCGGTATTCCTTCTGGTGCATTAATTTTACTTGCTACACTCTGCACTGAAGTTTTGGGCCTTTAGATGCTGCTCCTTTTGCAGTGAAAGCCTAGTCCCACAAGATCCCCAACTCCTGTAGAAACCAGCTAACAAGTGCTCAGCCTTCTTTAATCACCCCCCAGTGCTTTGAATTAGTCTCCTTCTGCAGATAACCCAATTTACCGAGGAGGCAAAGGGAACTAGCAGCCTACAATAAAGAATGATACAGATGAAGGAAGGGGATTCTTACCAGAAGCAAAGCATTTCCAAGCACACATATTGTGTCAGGAATTTGGAGAGGTGCAATGTTCTAGAAGTAAATAAATGTGACTTCTAATTACAATCTGGATGAGGTCAGCACAAGACTGTTTCTGAGTTGAATCAGGGACTTGGGTCAGTACCGGAAACTGAACCCTCTGTAATTACTGGGAAGTTTCAGCATGGCCTATGGGCCTTTGAAAAGTGCTCTACAACCCTCAGTAAATAATCTATATTATTATCCTGTTTTACCATGTGGGAGACATTCTTGTCACAGGCACAGAGGTAAAAGAAAGGAATTAGAATTAAAGACTCAGAATTAGAAAGGACTTTAAATAGTGAAAGCTATGTGGGATTATTAATAGATGAAAATAGGAAATGGGACCAGAAGGAATTGGAGGTACTTTTAAATGTTTTCCTCCTCCTCTATCCCAGTTTTGCCTTGAAAACATAGAAGTTATATAAACATATTCAAACAAAGTAAATTAAACAAATGCATATTAACAAATTCAGTGTTTTAGGTAGGAATATGACTCATTTAAACTTATGGGCCTTTCCAAAATTTGTTTCTAATAAGGTAAACTATTGCTTCTGATATTGTTTAGATTGGGGTTGCCTTTAGTTCCTTTTTAAAAAGTGCTCCTAAATAATTCTATCCTCACAGGGATCATCCTTTGATATGAAACTGTTTTTATAAATAATAAGAGGCTACACCAATGATGTTGAAGTTCTTGGTTATCTACTCCTCATCCAATTCACTATTCTTTCTTGCCAACTGGGGTACTGTAAGTCTGATTAAATGTTCATGTCTCAAGCCTTCATTTCAGTTAGGAGTGAACTTGGCTTTGAACAAGGAGTTCTGTAAGCAGAGATCCACTGGTCGTGTCTTGGGAAGAGTTTCTTTTCTTTACAGAAGGGATGGTGTCACTCCCACCACTATTTCCTTCTTGCTGCCTTGAATGAGGTTGTGACAGCTAATATGTAGCAACCACCTTGTGACTATATGGAAAAAGTTAATACATTTACAAACCCTGACAATGTACAGCTGCTGAGCCCGGGCTAGAAACTGTCTTTTTCTATGATTTATTACAAACTAAAATAGCAACTTTCTACTTGTTTCAACTATCACGTCAAGTCTTGTTGCTATCAGCCAATTCTAACTACTTTATATGAGTTTATATAAAGTTCTCATTTGTGGATATTACAGTTATAATTTTGAAAAAAAAAAAGGACTTTAAGATTATCTAATATAATGTCTTCTCTTTTCTAGAGAAGCAGACTGGAGATCAGAATGAGGAAATGACTTGCCCAGTCTTAATTTGAAAGTCCAGAGACCGACCAGACTCCAGGTCTCTGGACTCCTAACCAGTGTTCTTTCCCTTGTATCTTTCTCATTGTCTCACTGTATTCTTTATCCTAAAATATGACCAGGGTGCCTTGCGGGCAAGTTGTATATCTCAGGAGCCCAGACGGATGGGAAGGGAGAAAGGCGGGCAGATGGGTACTGGACCAAATCCATTTGTTCACTGGCTTCCTTACTCCTTTCTGCCCTCAAATTTCATTTATTGGATGCCTGCTTTAAGCAAACATCCAACCACTGGCTCTGCCCTGGGGACACAGACATGAGCCAGACAGTTCTGGCTTTCAAGGAACTCGAGGTCCCATAGGGGTGATGACATGTCTGCACTAATTTTAATCAAAAGTAGAGGTTATAGAGTCATAAGACACATAAGACATAAAGCACTTTGGGAGGCTCCATGAAAGAGACATTAGGTTCAGCTGGGAAGACTCATAAAGAAGATGACCTTTGACGTAGGTCTTAAAGGGAGAGAAAAACAAGGATATTGGCAGAAACAGCTGTGCAAGAGTTGAGAGGAGGAGGAGTGAAGGCAGAAATGTAGAAAATGTGTAGTGGCGTTTGGCTGCAGAGTGGCACACGTGACGAGAAGGCTGAGAAATAAGGAAGGGCAGTGAGTGTGGACCAGACCACAGAGAACATTTCATTCCCAGCTAAAGATGTCCAACTTTACTTTGTGGATAACAGGGAGCCAGAAGCGGTTTTTGAGCAGGACGGGGACATCACCACGGTGGTGCTTCAGGAAGATTAATTTGGTATGGTGGAGGGCAGGAGGGATCAAAACTGACCCAACCTCATCCTCTACCACCAGTTCACACTAGGCAAGGACGAGACTAAATGCAAATGTGATGTGTTTAGTATGTTACCTTTGTAAGCAAAGGTGCTATGTTAGGGACAGACTTTGGGACTCTACCGGGGCTTCTAACACTAGGCTAGTGTATATCTTTTCAGAGCAAGTGAGAGCCCTGGAAGCATCTCTGGGGGCACAGTCTTGCTGCAGACACATTGGGGGTGCATTCTGGGGTTAGGATGAAGCCACACATGCCACATATTAGGGAGCAACAATTGTGTCTTGGTCTGAGACCCTACTCTGGTATTTTTAGTTGGTGGAAAGTTGGATTGAAACCAGTTTTCTGAGCTACTAAAAGAAAGAGTGTGGGCAAAATAAAGGAGGTGCTTCCCTTTTTCTCAGAAAGATAACATGCAAGTGTGCTTGTGTGTGCGTGTGTGCACAAACGCGCACACACACACGCACCCCTGCGAAACTCAAGTTCCCAGCAGGAGCAAATGAAGCTGAAGTTGCTGGGGCTTTGGGGCTTATCCTGTACCACTGTTCCTCCCTCCTGGGTGTGGAAACACATTTAAATTCTTTCCTGTGATTCAGTACCTCAATAATGAGACTCTTTCAAAGTTGACTGGAAGATGGATTACTTTTCCAGTTCTAATATGTGAGATAATGTTTATATGAATTTTATTTTGTGCAACTGGACTATCAACAAGGGACTGAACTTAAAATATTTTCACTCTCAATGAAACTCCATAGTTGAGAGCTCTCTCTTCATCAGCAGCTTTCCTCTACCTCCAAAAAATAAAACAAAAGGAAAAAATACATTTCGTAAGCTCCTTGGGATATTGTCAGTATAAATCTTTTAAAGTCAGTGAGAATTTCTCTCTCCTCTTTCCCTGTTTCCTGTTTAGTTTGCTCAGAATAGCTTGGGGCTATGGGAAGGCTCCTGGGGTCCCTTCTAACTAAGAAGGATGGCCTGGCATCTCACAGATCTTCCCCCAGTGTGGGCCGTGGAGGGGTGGAGAGGCAGATCAAAGAGCCCTGCTTACACGGTGCCACGATCATGGTTTCCTTATTATTGGATTGTGTTGATGTGTTCAATGATTAAATATGAAGTGGTTATTATTTTTATCTCTGGTCACCGGCATAGGGATGTGTTGCTCTTATCCCAGCCAGCAGGGCTCAAATTATGAGCCAGAAACCAAGGGGCATGAATATTGAGATCAGACAGACTCTTTCATATTCAGGCTCTATCTCTATCCAGTTCTAGGCTTCAGACAAATCATTTAAACTCTTTAAGCCTT